AAAATCCAATTAATCCATTCCAGACACCCAAAAGTATTAGACTAATTTTTTTTACATGAAATATACATTTCCCTACACAGAAAACAATGATCCATGCATAATAAACAGTACTGAAATGACACTTATCTTTATTGTGGACTTGATGAGGGGAGAGGATGAAGGTGTTCTTTTGTTTGGAAGGGGAATCCCCTTCCATAAAGACTTCAGGTAACAAGTCCTTTTCTGGGGTTACCTCCATTCTTGGTTTTTTAATGCCACTATGACCAGCTTGAGAATCACTGGACCCCCTGTTGCACAAAATATCTGTCCAGAGAGCTCTGTTTCTCGCGTCCCTTTAACCCTTTCAGGGACCGTGCCGTAGATCTACGGCTTTAAGTTGAGGGTCCAAACCGTAGATCTACGCCATGAGCTCAGGTCACCTGACTCTGATAAGCTATGAGCGGTAAATTTGGGCCTAGATATGAGAGAATACATCTGTGGTATGTATGCACCACAAAATAAATCCTGCAGCACACAGTGCATAATAAGAGAAAAAACTGAGACCATAATTTTCAATTAAAACCGACTTTGCAGTGTTTTTTCGTATGTTTTTTATAGTTGTATTTGCAATTTCTTGGTCTCGTTTGATAGAATGGAAGATATACTACAGAAATAGAGATGATTTTGATTGGTTTTATTACTGAAAATGGCTTGAAACCGAGCTCAAAGTAGCAGAAATGTTAAATTTTTGCTGATGTTCAGGCGTAAACAAATGACCTCACAGGTCTAATACACGCCAGCTAGTGGGTCTGATATATGTTCACAAATGTGCTGATATTATTTATACAATTATTACGATATTGCATGACAGTAAATCTTCTATTTTTTGGTTTGAATAAAAATTCATTATGTGGATTAAAAATCAAAATGGAATTCATTTGTAAAGCCTTAAAATGTAACTAACGAACAGAGGAAATGTTAGTTTAGTGCCAGGAATGCCTGCATTGTTTATTCTGGACCCTATTTTGAAATTGGAATATTTTGAACTTCGCATTAAATTGGCCAAATTACCAATTTCCGATCACTTTATTTTGTAGTTGAAACAGTCGAGTTGGCGATTTTTTGTGCTCAATTGATAGAATAGAAATAATACTAGTGAAATAGCTAAGAATTTGGTCGACTGGAATAATGTAATTAGCCTAAAATGGGAGTCAAAGTCGGCAAAATTGCCGATGTGTAAATATCGCTGATACATCAAAATTCGCGAGAGCATAATTTCGTCAATTTTCTATCAAATTTCGTACTTTTTGTTTTATTACCTTCAGAAAAAGATTATATACCATTTCATAAGAAAAAGATAAAATTATTTTTTGAAAATTCTTGGACCTTGGTGTGCACTTTGAAGTTTGGCCTCTGGACCCTGAAAGGGTTAAGATTTCCCTAAAATGGGACACAAGTGTCATTGTACATGTTGCCAATACGGCTTGCAACAGCTATTTCAGGATAATATTCATCCATAAATGCTTGCAACTTTTTCCACATTGTACACATTTCCTTAATCTTTGATGAAGGCAACTTCCTCCATCTCTCTTCCTCCTCCTCTGAAGCACATTCCTGAGCTGTGATCTGTTGCTGTTGCACCTGAAGCTCTTGCAGCTCTGTAGTGTTTAGCTCTTCATCGTCGTCCTCCACCAACACTTCCACATCCTTGCCACTAACCTCCAACCCCATGGACTTCCCCAATGCCATAATAGATTCCACAACTGGCATAGTCTGATTAGGGTTAGCCCCAAACCCTTCAAAATCCCTCTTGTACACATAGTGGCCACAGTTTTCTTCAAGCAGAGTTCAAATTACTGCAAGTCACTCCCTCCCAAGCCTTACCTATAAGGTTTATGCAACTGAAGATACTGAAGTGATCTTTCCAGAACTCTCTTAGGGTGAATTCAGTGTCTGAGGTCACTTCAAAGCACCTTTGAAACACTGCTTTTGTATCGAGTTTTTTGAAGTTTGAAAATGACCTGCTGGTTCATGGGCTGGAGGAGAGGAGTGGTATTAGGAGGCAAAAACTTCACTTTGATAAAGCTCAGCTCCCCCACAATTTGCTCTTGCAAGTCGTGAGGATGAGCAGGAGCATTGTCCATTACCAGGAGGCACTCGGGTGACACTTTATTTTCCAGGATGTACTTTTTCACAGTGGGGCCAAACACGGCATAGAACCAGTCAAGGAAAATGTCCGTAGTGACCCATACCTTACTGTTTGCTCTCCACATCACACACAATTAAGTATTGACGACATTGTTTTTCTTGAACACTCTGGGAGTTTCAGAGTGATACACGAGTAAAGGCTTCACTTTGCAATCCCCAGTTAGAGTTAGCCTGTCTTTCATAGGCTTGTGTCCTAGGAGTGCCTTTTACTCCTGAGTAATGTAGGTCCTGTTTGGCATTTTCTTCCAAATTAGGCTTGTTTTGTCACAATTACACTTGTTGGGGTTTTAATTTTTCAGTGTCTGTGTACTCCTTAAAGTCCTGCACATATTTTTCAGCCGCTTTTTTGTCAGAACTGGCAGCCTCGCCATGCCTTATCACACTGTGTATGCCACTACGACTTTTTAAATTTCTCAAACCAGCCTTTGCTGGCCTTAAATTCATCAATAGCAACACTATTTGGAAGCATTTTCTTAATGAGATCTGCATGCATCTGCCTTGCCTTCTCACATATTATTGACTGAGAAACACTATTTCCTGATAATTGTTTCTCGTTTATCCACACCAACAGTCTCTCCACATCTTCGAGTATTTGCGATCTCTGTTTTGTAAGCATACTTGCACCTTTTGCAACAGCTTCCTTGATTGCCTTTTTGTTGGCCAAGATGGTAGTGATGGTTGAATGGGGTTTGTTATATAACATTTCCAACTCCAACATACGCACTCCACTCTCGTACTTTGTGATGATCTCTTTTTTTATTTCAATAGTATTTCTCACCCTTTTTACCACAGGTTGGCACTAGAAGCTTTCTTGGGGCCCAAGGTAGCTTATTTAGCAGTTACAAGCACTAAAAACAATGGAATAATACAAAATATATCGCATGTATGCGTGGATTGTCAGTGGCTTTGTAAACAATGGCACTTTGGCTGTACAAGGAGTCATGTAGTGGCTGGGCCCGCTCAGGCCACGCAGATACGTTTGGGACGAAAGCCCTTAACCTAGTTATTTGGTGTTAGCCAAGCCAATATTTTTACGCCAAAGTGAGCCGTTATCCGATTTTGGCACTAACCGGTGACGCCTTTACCCGAGGGCCCACTGTATGTTGAAATTAAAGCGTAAAATTAATAAGTAAGAAACTAACTTTATGAATCTAAAGATGGGTTCCTTTTAATGTTAGCCTGGCCCTGAGGGTATAAAAATCATCACAGATTTGTTACACATAAGATCCCATATTTTTGCTCTTCAGACTACATTTGATTTTGCAAATCCTAGCTAATGTTGATTTGGATAACCTAACTAGGGATTGCTTTAAAAACTAGACAAATATTAGCTAAGAAGAATACCAGCATGACATTTTCAAAGATGTACAGCCTGCTGAAAGAGCACAGAATATAATCCCTCGATAGAATTCAGATGAAGCAGAAGTAATCCTTAAGGGATAAGTAAGAACCAAGTGTATAGTGTATCATATGAGAAAATTAGCTTGCAGATTAATTGTTAAAATTGAGATCAATTCTGACAAAACAGAATATAAAACATTTACAGTCGATTCTAGATTACCTTATAGAGTTTGAGTTCAGGTATGATATGTATAGGATAGAGATAGTGAAAGCACTAGTCCACTTAACTCTTCCTCTAAACATTTTACTGACAATTACAAAATTGTGATAAATATTTAACAATTATTTCCTATCCATTTTCACATAAGTTATAAATGAAATCCAGCAAGGAGGTTGCTAGAGGCAGTGGAAATGCCACATTTGGGAGCATTGTGTGGTTTGAATATTATGCAGAGAATTTAGAGTGTAGAAATGGTGTGAAGTTACCAAAGGTGTAATTAAGAGGGGTTGTTGAAGTGATTGGCATTTAGAGAGGATGGAACAGAATAAGATGACAGAGTGAATTTTCACACAATACAATTTTTTTTTTTTGGGGGGGGGGGGGTCACCCTGTCTCGGTGGGAGACGGCCATGTTAAAAAAAATAATTTTGTATTATGTAGTGTGAAAAAGGAAAGGGGGAAATAAGGTTATGTTCATTACATAAAGGAAAAAGGTTTTCCATTTCTTAAAAAATAAGGACTTTGACACCAGCATTGGTACTGTTGTTCTCACATACATTCCAATTTTTGCTTCTATGGATAACATTTTGAGACAAGACTGTTATCCTTGGAATGTATGAGAGTATAGTGGTACCAATGCTCTTATGTAGGTGTGAAGCATGGGTTGTGAATGTTAAAGCAAGGAGAAGGCAGAAGGCAGTGGAGATGTCATGTCTGAGGATAATGTGTGGATATTATGCAAAAAAAAATGTAGATTGAAGATTAGAAGTATGATCCAGAGGGCTGAAAAGGGGCTGTTGAGATGGTTTGGACATTTAGACAGGGTGGAACAAAATAGGATAACTTCAAGAGTGTATAAATCTGCAATGGAGGGATTGGAGGGAGGGGATAAAGGTGATTTTGTGGAAGAGGCCTAGATATCCAGCAAGCATGTTAGATAGGAGTGAGTGGAGACAAGTGGGCTCTATGACTTGATGTGCTCTTGGAGTGTAAGCAAGGTAACATTTATGAATGGAAGGGATACTGGTTAGCCATACTTGAGTCTTGGAGGTGGGAAGTACAGTGTCTGCACTCTGAGGGTTGGGGATATTTGTAGTTTTGAACTGTAGTATCAGTGCGCCTCTGGCAAGACAGTGATGGTTGAAAGTATTTTTCTTTTTCGGGTCACCCTGCCTTGGTGGGAGATGGCCAGTGTCTTAAAAAAAATTATCAGGTCAGATTTGCAGTTTATAAGATGATGTTTGTGTTTCAGTGCTCTACAAATAGTGGAATCTTCAAGTGAACGGTGGCCAGAGGAATTCAACGTGTCATCCTCCATGCTTTCCTTATCCCTCCAATCTAACCACTGAGTAACTGGTTGATCCCTAGCTAGCTGTAGGAGCTGTAAACATTTGACAACCTTATTCTCTCTAGGCTATATTGTTTTCCAGGTATGAATATAAATTTGAGCTCTTTATAATATGTAACTAGCCTTATTTATGAAATACTGTACTAATGTCACCTTCATATTTATTTGTTGTATATCCAGATAATGGTTAGGATTTCCAAAGTCTGGTCCATGTACGGCCGGAGATTTTCCGTAGATGCCCGGGCCCTAAAGGTGCTCTTGTGGCCACAATGCCAGTGTGCTTTAGAATCCCCATCTCCCATTAAAAGAAGTTGGATTGGAGTTTCTTTGGTGAGCAAGATTGGTTGAGTTAACACAAACTTCCATCAAAAATAAAAAATGCCTGCTGCTTGCAAGATTGGTAAATGACCAGAATTCAGCATTTGGTAATGTTTAATACAATGTGTCTATCAGAATTTTTAATTTCATAAAATATTAATATATCTGTCAAGTAACTGCTGTAGACATGGCTGACTTTCTCTCATGTATATAAGTGAATGTAAAGAAACCAATAAGTGTAAGCTTTGGAAGTTATTATGTCATGGACATCTTTCCCATTTGGCAGGGGAAGTGTGTTATATTAATACATCCATCTTCCTACATTTACTGTTGGCTTCGTATATGTTGGTCTTGTCAAATAGTCATTTGGGTGCAACTGTTTTAAGCTTGCTGCCCAGGAATTCTTATAAATCAGTGAAACACAGGAACTAAACGCTAGGGTTCTGTCGTTGATCACTGCAAGCACAGATTCGCCTTTCAATAATTTTATTATATTAATCACAATCTCCGGAGGATTTCATAAGAAGAGGTGAAAGGTATTCAAAATAATTTCCTCCATTATAGGCAAACCTCAGTATTCTGTCTTCTTTGCACTGGAAGCGAATCAAAGTCTGATGGTCTCGGTTGAAAGTAGAGAAGCCCTCTTTGCTCAATATCATGTAATGAGATCAGTGAATTGGAGCCAGTAGTTGTCAGCCAGGAAGGTTCATGTTTATTCATTATCAGTAGGGAAATCTGCCATATTGTGTAATTTTCATCTGCTGCTCATAAATCTCTGGTCTTGTCCCATGTAAAGTTACCTTCTGACTTTGTATAAATATATATATATATATATATATATATATATATATAATATATATATATATATATATATATAATATATATATATATATATATATATAATATAATATATAATAATAATATATAATATATATAATATATATAATATATATAATATATATATATATAAAATATATATATATATATATATATATAAAATATATATATATATATATATAATATAATATATATATATATATATATATATATATATATTATAATTATATATATATATATATAATATATATAATAATTCTTATTTGTGGCATGGTCAGTTATTATGAGCCTTTGAGACAAATCCACTCTCAGGCTCATGTCCTATGTATTTTGAAGACTCTTGCTACATGTTTTCGTAAACTTCACCGTTAAATTGGCTGGTTTTGAAAAAGTGGAGATAATGTCCAGGAAGTTTTTCCCTAGTCAGATAGAGGTCAAGTAATCCTCATCAGTAAGAGAAACTCTTATTTATAATTAAACTATATGCCCACAGGAGGTAAATATTAATGCCTTAATTTCACTAATTTGATCTTGTTAATTATTGATCCTCTATTTCTCTCTCATTACACGTTATCCTCTAAATTTTTTACATCATTATTATTGATAGAAGTATGGCTCATGGTTGCTGACTTTTTCACAAATATATTGAATCACAAAGTCCAACTTAGCTCTGCCTTACTAGAGTCGAAGCAAGTGGTTCATAGTGTATTTGTGTAAAATGTCAACAACTTGGTATGTGGCTTAGCACAAAATTATCTATTGTAGCTTCAAGTGGCAGTAAATTGCTTTATTTCAAGACTCCTACCCTTAGGCATAACTAAACTGGATGTAGTGCCGGAAATTGTGGCAGTATAGTATTTTGATCAGCTTTTATACAGTTAAAAAAAGCTGTATTAAAATCATTTTAGTTAATTTGTACAGTGCTTAATATGGTTATTTCAGAGGATGCCTTTCAACCAGTTATATATGGTCCTTGATTTAAAATACCTTTTATACAATATTGGGCACCATGAGAAAAATTTGTTTTGAAAATTTCACTCCCTATTGAAGAGGCGAAATTGTTTGAGTTTGCTAAGCCACTTGCTCTCCCAAGAGGCCTCTGCTTAAAAATGCTTTCACACCCTTGTAAGGTCACTACAAGGGCCAGTATATTTCGTAAATTAGCCTGTGCTGGGAAAATGAACGTGGAAGCTTTCAGTCTTTTAGAATGAATTTTACAATTTCACGCTTTTCTTTTTAATTGATTATGTAACTAACAGTAACCTTACATTTTTATTTTTCTTCTCGCATCTTAATGATCACAAAGCTGAAATCCTTCTCTTGTTGATACTTGAGCCTGTGAGCATGAGTGTCAAGAAGGTTTTCATTTTCCCAAGAACTTTTCTGACCCAGCAGCATCATTGGTTTCACCCACCATGATTCCTGGTCGGCTTCATTGCAGACATTCTCAGCCTTTAGATAGGCCTAGGCAAGTTGTTTGTATGTTGCATCATTCCAACCTTTTAATGTGTGAGTGAATTGTGTAATAATTTGTTCTTGTTTTTTATTTTATTTTTTTATGTAGCAGTAACTCTAGGCACCATTGTTTTAATGCTCAAGTTTATGAAGTCAGATAATATAATATGGTTTTCCAGCAATGTGAGGTATAAAGACTGTGTTTTTAGAGATGTTGGGAACTAAAAATATAAATGCAACCCATAAAGAGTTGCCTTCTTTTTATAATATCAACTGGTTGCATTGGCCAAGAGCCTTGTTCATCAAAGTAACGCAGGTTTTTGTTCAGCAACACTTGTGTAAAATTGTATGCTTGAATTCATGAGAGAGAAAGCAGTATTAAATTGCATATTTGGAATTGTTAGTGTGAGAGAGAGATAATCAATTTGTTTGCGTGGCAGAGACTGTTTATGAATATACAGGTATGTATGAGATGGGTTATAAATAACCATATCTATTTTTTTTTCTTTCCTCAGATAATTGTACAGTATATGAAAATTTAATTATGAAAATGAAAATATTGTATGAAGAATGTACCATCAGTCAAAATGTACATTTAATCTGCATTGCTTTCTAGTTAGATAAATTATTTTATGATCCCAATGAGACCAAATGAGTTTGTTAGCTGCTGAGATGTTCCTGGGTCATGGACTAGGTATACACAAACCTCACATGTGTGTGCAGTATGTCTAGTTCTAGTCTTGCTCTTGTCTCGATGTAATCGTTTCATTAATTTCTTTCCTTTATTACATGTACATTGTAAAATATTGTACACGTGATATAATTCCTACTTTCTATCATATTGATTGTGATTTTTTCATATTTGCATCCTTAACATTGGTTTTTAGTTTTCTAATGGTTCATAACATCATATGAATTTGCTTTATTTTCTGAGAGTTGCATCAATATCCCTTTTTTTTTTTTAAATGTCTTGCATCTCCATTATAATTAATATGTGATAATCAGTGATACTGATACTTGGATGTGACCCAGTTTATTCTTGGTCATACTCCCTGTAAGGTCCACAGAAAATACTGTTCTATAAAATAGAGAATTTAGGTTCATTATTGTTGGTCATGTCACAGACATTATTAACTTCCACTTAGTCTTTCTTGACTCGCTGCATTCATGTGTTCCTTATATAGTTATTAACTTGCCATCAGAACATCTGAGTGAAAGGGCCTTCTGTTTCTCTTGGATGCCGCATTCCACATGGTCCCCAATCCATCCTGTCTCCTGTCCCATATATATATATATATGGCAGTTCAAACAAAACACAAATTAATGACCCTGGTGAGAAAGAGGTTTTGAAAAAAAAAATTGTATATATAATATACCACGTGTGTTGTTATTAACTTATTGCAGTCACTGAGGTTACCCACCACTTATCTATCCGATATACCTTTTCAGTAAAACAAATTATATTTAGTTGAATAATGCAGTCAACTATGTAGGATTTGACTTTAGCATGCCTAGTGCATTACCTGTACCTACCTTGGTTGGTTGGTAAGAGATCACATTGTAACACCTGATGTAATGGGTAGGAGATGTTTTGAAGTTAGACAATCTACAGACTTGTCCACAGATGGTGAGGTATTGCTGTATTCCATCATGCACACACTTCTCAATAACAGGTCTCAGCTCTAGGATCATCCTTAGTGTTCAGTGTGACTTTTGTTATTGCAAGGTATTTACCCTAGATCTACCTCTTTATGTAACCCTTTCCTCTCATGGTCTTTAGTCAGATTTCACGTTATCTTGCCGTTTTTGTTTTTAACTTTATAGTCCCTATTTATTCAAGATGTTCTATACTGCCATTTCATTCATTATTAATGTCTCTTTTTCTGACTTCCATATAAATTTTTGTACTGGTACCATGTTAATAAAATGGCTCTCTTGATTTTTTTTTTTTTTTTTTTTTTTTTTTTATCTTTTCTGAAAATATTGCTTTTCTTTGCAAGTTGATCCTAATCATTTATGTACATAATTTCATGAATTTCATAGAACTATATTCTACTGTGCCTGTGTTTCCCCTCTTCAAACAACTTTTAATCTGTGCAGTTATCACCAAAATTTTATTTAGACCACATTACTTATTCCACCTTTATTCACTATACCAAGCTTTCCAGCCTTTTTCATGTTGTAGATTCATTCATGTCCCTTAATCCTCCTCTGTTTAGAGATTCCAGGTAAATAAAAGAAAGTCATAAGTATTAGCAGCGTTACAAACATGTGGTATGATCCAGGCATATCAAGATTGCATTTACCACCCACCTTGATAATACATGACATCTTACTGTATACTACTACATGGGTACTGTACATTAATTCCATATCCAATGGTACATAGATTACAAGATATGTAGATCTTGTTATAAAAAGTGCAATCACACTGCCCTTTAAGACCTGGGCATCAGTGCAAATACCACCCTTCCATATGTGTTATGCTCGTGCGTAGTGTCCAGTTAGATGTCCGCTCATGTTAATATTTGTGAATTCCACTCAGTAATTCAGACGAGTGAGGATGCATTTTTGTATGGGTCTCTGTGTTTGTAATGTTACAAAAAATTCTGTGTCTGTATATATTATAAGAAAATACATGATGCTTCCAAAATTAATTGCACCTTTTTCCATACCATGTACTTGGCTGATCCTTTGAGGTTAAGTGATTGCCTTGATTATAATGTATACTTAATTTTTGTGTTGGAGTGAGAGCAAGGTAGCATTTTGAAGGGATTCAGGGAAACCAGTTAGCCAGACTTGAATCTTAGAGGGACATCTGAACTTCAATGTTAGAATGCCTCTGGCAAGATGGTGATAATTTTTTAAGGTCACCCTACCCGGGTGGAAGATGATCGGAGTGTTAAAAAAAACAAACTTGGTATACTATTCAACACACCACAGGAACCAACAAAGTTCAGTTTTTAGAGCAGAATACAAGATGGTTCTTTACTCTGTTCTCTTGTATACTTAGGAAGGACTTGAATTATATCAACTGAGAGGTATAGTACATATACGGTCAGTGAATAATGGATAGTCAATTTGAAGTCCAGCTAATCCCATATCAACAGAATTCCACTTTTAACCAATGTTGGTTAATTAAGGGGCAAAATTTTTGTCAGTTTCTGAACTGAGTAAAATTATTTTTACAGCAAATTTACCTTCAGAAATTGTGCCTCTATATATTGTACTTTAAAAGTTTACACAGAAGGGTGGAGCCTTCTATCACTTTACATTGTAAATGTTGCTTGTAGATATAATGTTTGCACACAAGCAAATGTACAGTATTTAACTTTAATTGGGTTAGCCTAGATTAAAATACATAACACACTTTCTGTGTTCATGATGCATTGTCAGGACCATTGTAAAAATTTGTACGTGTACCCAGAATTAAAAAAAAATATTAAAATTAGTAGCACTGTATGACCCTTTCGGGTTAAGTGTTTGAGGGATATTTGAAAGATAGGGGAGAAG